CTCAGCAGTCATTCAGCCTCCAGCAGGCACTCAGCCTTCAGCAGTCATTCAGTCTCCAGCAGTCACTCAGTCTTCAGCAGTAACTCAGCCATTCAGCTCTCAGCAGTCATTCAGCTCTCAGCAGTCTTCCAATCTTCAGCAGTCATTCAGCTGATTTGAACCTGTCTTCTGTCCAACAGGTCCATTGTTTTAGCTAAGAAGTGGTGCAGCCATCCAGAGTGGGTCCGTTTGGACACGGCACCGTTCTCCTCCCTGACCCGGGACTGCGGGGCCCTCCTTGGTCTGGGTCTGGCCCAGTACTGGAAGCCCGGCGGCTGGCCCTTGCCGTGGGCCCCCAGAGCTCTGTGCTTGGCGATCTCGTCCATGGGGCTGCAGCACTTGAACGGTCTGCCGCTGCCCGGCGAGCCTCAGGGCCTCTTCTACGGCTCCTTCTTCATCAAGTTCGTCCTCGTGCCTCTGATCGTCATGGTTCTGGTTCCGGGCTCGGTCCACTTTTTCACACGCAAAAAGAAAAAAGACTAGACAAAAATGTTTACGCCCCTAAAGACTTCAGCTTTTTTCATCCGTTTATTTTCTGCATTTTGATATTTTATATTGTTCAGTCTGTGACCAAACTTTTATTTATTTTTCCTTAGTCATGTCTGGATTTTAAAATAACTTGTGGGCTGCAGGTTTACAGAAAATATGCTGGTACTGTGATAAAGTTTTCATAGAACTATCAGATTGTAACTAAATATTGTGGATTTAATTTTCTTTAAAAAAAAAAACAACTTTTGAGCTTTCCACACTAAACTTTGTTTCAAAGTTAAAATTTTACCTTCTCAGCGTCCCAGTATTTATAAATTAATTTAAATTTTATTATCAAATTGCACAGACGCTGATGTATTTATAAACTTAAAGAAAAACAACAACTTTACTATGTAATATAGAGTAAATAAATAAGTGACATGCAGGGTGTGTTTCAGTTTATAACCATTTATAAATATGTTTTTTTCTCAGTACATAGTTTTGGACTGTACAGATTACAATCAGGTATCATGAGATAAAAACACATTCTTTTTTATCCTTTTAATGAAACTTTTTATCACAGCGATCTGAAAGCTCACATTTACAGACAAGAGAACTTCGCTCAGCAAGCAAATATGTTAAAATAAAAAATAATTAAATAAAATAACCCCTTTTTTGCCCGGCGAGTTTGCAGGAACACGACGAGGACCGACCGGGGAAGCGTCCTCATCTTAATCCCGACACGTCTCGTGACACGGCTATACATGTTTCTGCGTGAGGTCGTGGATACAACATGCATCGGACTATTTACAGCAAACTAATATACACGAACAGCTGGGAACCGCACACGCTCAGGTCCCCGCGTCGGAAAAAAGTCCCGTTTAAATTAAGTATGATACAGTTTTAACCTTCATTCTTTGTAAAGTTCAGGGGAGGAAGTGTCCACAGATATTCCTCATCAGACGTCCCAAAATAAAACCAGTTACAGACAAAACGGTCCATAACCTTTCCCACATTTACAAATAACGCGTTTTATTTTTTATTAATTCACATCGCTATGACAAAAACTCCAAATATGGAGTTTCTGGATGCTATACTAGCATTTGTTTAATATCACAACACCGTTCTGACAAAGCAGTTGTGTAAAATCATAAAAACTCAATGCAATGATTTGAAAATGTTATGAACCCATATTTTATTAATAGATCATAGTAAACAATCCAGATGTTGCTCTTAAAAAAAAGAGGTAATTTTGAATTTGATGGCAGCAAAAAGGAAACAGCTGGAGCAGCATTTTGCAACCGTTAAGGTCAACAGACTATAAAAAGAGCTTTTAGATGTAAAAATGGGCAGAGGGTGATTGAGCTCAAAGGACGAGGCTGGAAGTCACCAGTTCATCATACCAGCCACAAATGCTGCTTAAAGCTCTATCAGGCAAAGGAGGAGGAACGTGAACACCGTCCAGAACCAGTTACTTTAAAATGGACCGAGGCAACGAGGAACGCTGATCTGTGGTCAGACGGATCAAAACTCGAATTTATTTTTAGTAGCATTCCCCACATTAAAGAGATGGACCAGCAGGCCTGTCTGCCTCGCTGATGATATGGGGGTGCATTAGTGCCTTTGAAAAATAAAAGACACCACCACGTTTTAGAGCAGCGCACTCTCCCATCCAGACACCTTTCGCATACTCACCAACTGAAAACATTGAGCATCATGAAGAGAAAGGTCAAACAGAAAACCTCCGACTGGTCTCGTTTTTTTCAATTTTTTTTTTAGAAGTCACTGCCATCAAATTCAAAACTACAATTTACTGAGTTCAAACATTTGATGTTTACTATAATCTACTGTAAAAAAAAAAAGTGAGTCACAGTTCATTGCATTCTGTTTTTATTTACATTTGACACAGCTTTGTTAGAACTTGTGTTATGTTTTGTTGCTTCTGTTTAAGATGTGTGCATTAGAGACTGAACGTGTTTTTTTTATGGCGTCAAATACGATCGGCCTCTCAGGCCCCGACGAACGACTGGCCTGGGCGGAGTGGAATATCTAAACTATTTACAGCTTGTGCTAGAAAGTTTTCGCATCTTCACCGTTTTAAAAAAACGCTCCATACAGTCATTCATCAGAAATCAAACAGCGATGGTGTTCATGACAGTCCGGCTTCAGCGATTCGAGCTCACGTCACACATCCACTTACTCCCAACGTCAACAAGCGAGAAGATAAAGTGCACTCTATAGAGTTAAGAATGGAGCGGCCATTATTAGTGCAGAGAAGGGTGAGCAGAAATGCATTGTGGGAGGAAAAAAAAAAAAAAGAACGGAACATAACGCAGACGAGGGGAAATGTTTAAAACGCGTTGCTCGCTTGTAGCTGCTGAGCACTAACCCACCGCCAGCTTGAAGGAGGGACCGAGACAAACTTTGATACTCGTGTCATTTTTAGCCGTGTATGTGGCAAATACCACAAATAAAATAAACTAAATAAATAAATAAAACATAATTCAGTCAGTTTTACAGACATGCACCTGAAATTTGGCGTGGTAATGGCCACTACCTTTTTTTAGATAAACTTTGTCTATTAGCAAAATATCTCGTGAACCACCGGACAGATTTTAATGAAACTTTCAATGAATTATCAATGGACGAACCTCTATAAGTCAATACCTTATGGAGCCAACCCAATTCAAAATGGCTGCCACACCCAAGTGACCTTTGAAAACACACAAATGGCTATAGTTCAGTCAGTTTTGCAGACATTGTGCAGAATTTTGGTGTGGTAGTAGCTGAGAGTCATCTCCAAAACATAATCCCAAGTGCTACTCATTATGCAAGATATTTGCTTAAAATTAGCAGTAACTGTTGGGGTCAACCTTGTCTGTTAGCAAAATATCTCGTGAATCACTGGACAGATTTTAATGAAACTTTCAGGAAATGAACAGTGCATGTGAATCTATAAATGTTTAACTTCTGAAATCAATCCAAGTCAAGACGACCTCCACGGCTAATCGACAGTAGCCAACACAAAACGGCTGTAACTCAGTTAATTTTACAGACATCGTAGAAGTGATTGTACCAAAGTTTGCCTGCGTCCCGCACTCCCTCACGATGGTTGATCTTTCCATTTCCACAAGACTCGCAGTGTGACACAGTAGCAGGGTTTAACCAGGAAATTCAAACTGCAAACTATGCTTTGATTTATCTCTATGTACAATATATAACTTAATTATAAATATTGTCACTTTTTCTTTAAGTCGTTGAGCCTTTTGTATTTTTCTGAGCAATGTACAGTATTGAACAGGTAATATAGTATTTCATAGAACAGAGCCTACTGAGCGGCCTCGGATAAGAGCACATTTTGAAAGAACAGAAGATGAAGAGTCCTCGAGTAGAGCGTGACGAGCGGCGGCGGCGCTCGGACCGTCCCATCTGCTGCGCTCGCTCGCCGCTGGACATTTTCGGAAGCGAACTGGTCATTAAGAATGAGATCGGACACTTTGTGTTTTCCATCCTGTGTGCTGAATATGAAGATCACCGTCAGTTTTTCATCAAACAGCCTAAATGTGTTTATTGTTTTTTTTACTTGTGTTTTCTCTCGTTTTTTAATTTTTTTTTAAATTATGGATGAATTTGTCCATGACACACACAGATCACGTCACATTTGCTTTCGAGATAAATATTTGACTCTCTCTCTTCCGCTAACGAGCCCAGCTCAACCGTCCGGTCACACGTTCGACTCCACAAAGGGTCTCTTTGGTTTGATGGGGGAGGTGGGGCCTTGGGTTCGAGAGTCACGTGACAGCTGGCGGTACATGTTGTCCTGGTAAGCTTGCGCCACAGGCAGAGTCCTCGCCACCTTCACGTCTGGGTAGGTGGGCACCTGGCTGACCCGCTCCAGAATGTCGCCACTGCCTCGGGAGCCGTTGGCCAGCTTGCCCAGCGAGGGGGGCTGGGTCTGAGAGTAGTAGTCCTCTTCGAGCAGGTGTCCGTTTTGGGCGTTGTTGGTCTTGTTGTAGTAGGCGATGTTGCCCAGAGAGGCCGGGGGGCTGTAGGTGGAGCCCTGCTGGACCAGCTGGCCAGGTGAGGTGGGGCTGATGACGGAATCCATGGAAGTCATGGGCCTGGACCGCGTCGGCTGATGCAGGTACTGCTGAGTCCGAGCCGTCTTGTCTATGATCCCCATGAATGGCGTGTTCCTAGAGCGGGTCGTCTCCCCCTGATACAGTCCTCCACCACTTTGGGAGGGGGAAATGGGGGAGATGTCATCGCAGCTGCGCTCGTACGCGGGTTGCAGTGGGATCTCCATCTGTTGAATGGACGAGGAAGGCCTAAAACCCGGAGCTAAATTCGAAGTGGATCCAGTTGAGATGTTGTTGCTCGAAGGGGAGAATCGCAGGCCTACGCTCTGGGAATGGATGAGGGGCCTGGGGGTGGGCACGTGCTGCTTCATCTCAGTCGTATTGGCACTGACGGGGCGTCTCACCATGTGGGAGATCTCAGGAGAGCCCAGCTGACAGGGAGGCATGGCGTTGGCACGCTCCAGCACGTGCTCGGAGACGGGATAGTAGGCGGCTGATTGGCTACGGCTTATCTGAGGAGTTTGGCTGTAACGGATGCCCCCCGGGCCCCCACTGCTGGCGCGGTAGGCAGAGGAGGGGCGCTGGGGTAGCTCATCTTTCAACAGGTTCGACTCCATAACCCCTCCTCGGCCGCCGTGCTGACAGAGGGCCCCAGAGCTGAGGCTGGCCTGAACTTGGGACATGGATCGCCCATCTAGAGACGGCTGGTACACCAGGCGGCTCTCCACATCCATCGAAACCCCCTGATAGCGACCGCCAATGGAGTGGCCCATCTGGCCACCAAAGCTACTATTGCCTATGACGTTGCTGGGCTGGTTTGTGCGCACAATTTGGGCTATTGAGGGTTGGAGGCGAAGGCCTTGAGCTTGGTGGTGCTGGGAAGATAGAGACGGCTGTGAGCTCAGCTGGAACGAACGCTGGCTGCTCATCTTGGAAAGTGGAGATTT